CCCCAATTCAACAGCAATCGCAGTCGCTGTTGGCAGAGTGCAGAGTGCAGAGTGCAGAGTGCAGAGTGTAGGGCAATCGCTTCTTTGTCAATTTTAATGTACTGATTCTCACTTTTACTTAGTGACCTAGATGCAAAGGCAATTGGCTTTTCTGTTCCATCTTTTAGCCGGTGTGAAATTACAGCTCCTGAAACCCGGCTCCAAGACATGGAAGCTACGATCAAGGCTATGCTGGACACCTTCCGGACCCAGAGAGCCGTAAATCAAGTGGTCAAAAACGGCATGGCCAAACTGGAAGATGACCTTGGCTTCGTTTTTGCCGGGTGGTGAGCAAGGCGGCCATGGAGAAGATTGCCGAGAAGGTTGTGTCTCTGTCTGACGAAAGACCACTGTCTTCTAAGAAACGTAAGAGGCCTTCCACATCGGAAAGGTCCTCAAAAAAGAGAAGAAGGCGTCCAGACCAAAAGGACCACGGTAATGGCCAAGGCGACTCAGACGGATTGTCTGCTGTGCCCAGATCCTTTTCGGACATAGCTGCAGCTCCTGTAAAGAAACCAACAAACTCAGCTACCTACGACCCCCCTTCAGGGAAGTTCCCGAAAGGGGTCAGTTGTAGAGACACCTGGGCCTGCGTGGGAAAAACGCCGTTCCTGAAAGGAGAAATCGAGGCGGGCGGAGGTCGCCTCTATAAAGAATGTGGCAGTGAAGGCACATTGGGCCCGGCTCGGTCTCTGCTCCGAAAAAGTCCCGGCCAAAAAAGTCCAGGACGGAGGCAATCCTGGTCAAGCCCTCAGGGGGAGATCTTTTGCTGAGGTCTTGGGTGCAATTAAGGCCAAGGCTAAGTCAGAGCAGACCAATACGGTTGTACGGTCGACTACTAAGGTGCTGGCACTCCAGCATCTGAGAGTCGGCTGGGTCAACTGCAGGCTCAGACGGAGATTGGAAGTGAAGAGGTGTTTTAAATGCCTCTGTTTCGGCCATTCCTCCCGAAACTGCAAGGGACCCGACCGATGCAGAACTGCCTTCGGCGCGGGGAGATCGGTCACATCCGTAAGGACTGCCAAGTCGAGTCCTGTTTCTTTGCAAAGAAAATGGGCTCGCTGAAAACACTTGAAGCATATAGCTGGGTCTGGACAGTGTAGTGTATTCAAATCTGCACTACAGCAAGCGAAAGCCCTTTTACGAAGATAAGAATCCTTCAGTGCAATCTTGAGTGATCCAGGTCGGCTGACGCACTTCTATGTCAGCTTGCCCTAGAACACGATGTCGACGCGCTCTTAGTCAGCGAACAGTACCAGTACCGTGATAGGGACCCATCTTTTTGGTTCCCTGATAGTCTTGGTACTGCTGCATTCTGGGCGCGTAATGCAGCGAAAGTACAAGTACGGGGTCACGCGAAGGGCCGAGGTTTCGTTTAGGTTCGGTGCCGGGATGTCACTTACTTTAGTGTCTAACTCACTCCCAACGAGGCCATCCGTTAATTTCGTGAGAAGATAGACCGTCTGGAAGAGAGCGTGCGCAATACCACAGGACACGTCATTGTGGGTGGGGATTTTAATGCTTGGGCTGTCGAGTGGGGAATGACCCTCACCAATTCCCAGTACAAATACATTCTGGACTTTGCTGCCAGAGCCGGACTCGTTGTCGTCAACTAGGGAAACACGCCAACATTCCGGCGCCCTGGGATGGACGGTTATATTCAAGTATCTCCAATCCTAAATTGCTATTATAAGGGAGGGAAACAGGTCCACGACATAGGAAGTGGTGAAAGAAATAGTAAAGGTAAGCAGTCTATAGTGTGGGAACTGTTTATGGCGATTAGATTAAGGTATCTGCAATCCTAAAATGCAATTGGAAGGGAGAGAAGCAGGTCTGCAACGTAGGAAGTGGTGAAGGAAGTAGTCAAGGCGAGCTATCCGTAGTTTGGGAACTGTTTATGACGGTTAGATTAAAGTATCTGCAATCTTAAAATGCAATTGGAATGGAGGGAAAGAGGTCCACGACGTAGGAAGTGGGGATAAAAGTAGTAAAGGCGTGCAGTCCGGAATGCGGAAACTGTTTAAGACGATTAGATTAAGGTATCAGCAGTCCTTAAATGCTATGGGAAGGGAGGAAAACAGGTCCGCGACGTAGGAAGTGGTGAAGGAATTAGTAAAGGTGAGCAGTCCGGAGTGTGGGAACCGATTATGACGATTATATTAAGATATCTGCAATATTAAAATGAAAGGGAGGAAACAGGTCCACAACGTAGGAAGTGAAGTGGTGAAAGAAGTAGTTAAGACGAGCTATCCGGAGTGTGGGAACTGTTAACGACGATTAGATTAAGGTATCTACAATCCTAAAATGCTATGGGAAGGGAGGGAATCGGGTCCGCAGCGTAGGAAGTGGTGAAGGAAGTAGTAAAGGTGAACTATCCGGAGTGTGGGAACTATTTATGACGATTTGTTTAAGTATCTGTAATCCAAAAATGCTAAGGGAAGGGAGGGGAACAGGTCCGCGACGTAGGATGTGGTAAAGGATGTAGTAAAGGCGGGCTATCCAAGTAGTAGGGAAAAGCCGGTTCTGGATCAACCCCGACAGACCAGGGATTCTCATCTGTTTACTCTTCCACTCATCGAAAAGCCGTTTCTGGACCAGCCCCCCAACAGACCAGAGATTTGGCCATTTTCAAGCTCGGCTGGTAGTAGTATATATATGTGCGTCCTACTCCCGGAGTTTATATGGGCTCTTATGGGAATACCTCCCCACACCCTGGCTGTCGTTAGCGAAGAGGCTAGTCCTCTTCATGCCCTAGGTTGCTTCTTCCAGTATTATAAGAGAACGTGTATTGAAAAAGCACTGCTGCTTCTCATCCCTTTTTTGTGTATGCCCAGACTCTATATAGGACAACACTCGCCCGTGAAAATGGATGATGTGTATTTGGAAGCGTGCCAGTCCATGGACAGCAATACTTCGTTTTCCAACGCCTCTTCAGAAAACGCAGTTTTCACTGCGACCCCAGAAAGCGTGGTTTTCACCGCGACACCTGAAAGCGTGGTTTTCACCGCAACCCCGGAAAGCATGGTTATCACCGTGTCACCTCTGCCTGTCGATTCGGATGACGACGTGAGATCGTTTGAGCTCACCGACGAGGAAGCCGGTTCCGACGTTTCTCCGATAGTCGGTTCTAGCTTACCCGTTGACACTAAGGTGCAGTGTCCAATCTGCGGTGTACGTGTATCGAAGCCCTACTTAGGAAGACACAAGAAAACCAAGAAATGCTCTAACGCCGCAAGCGCACAAGAGACAAGAGCTGATATGGTGGTTGTTCAAGCTACTCCTCAAGAGAAGAGTTCACGTTACAGTGTGAAGGTAGCTTGTGACCGATGTGGTGATAGTGTGTCTGTTGCAAATCTTAAACGACATCAAAAGTCAAAGAAATGTCTAGCTGCAACACAAGCTGGTGAGCCGGCTTTGGTACCTGACGTTGTCACAGAACCCCGACGTCTGTCTAAGATTGAGTGTGATACTTGTGGTAAGCTTGTTACTACTTCGAACTTGGCCCGACATCAGAAATCAAAACGATGCCGTCCACCTGTGGATGTTCGCGAAAGCACTACCCCAAAAATGAAGACATGTTTGCTATGTGGAGTGTCTATGCTACCGGTTCAATGGAAGCATCATAAACTGTCGGATCGTCATATTAGCATGCTGGGACAAACTCAAAATATGGCAGGTGTGAGCTCCAGAAATGTTGTATCGATTGCTCCACCTATAAACAATCAACATGCTGTACCTTCCACGAGTGGTGAACCCGTGAAACAATATGTGTATCCTCGAGCTGGTTCAACCGATGTGGAGGTGTGTAGGATTTGTATCAAACCTGTAAAAGTGTCAGAATGGTCTCAGCATTCCAAACACCATCTTCGTCCTGAAAAGCCTCAAAATTCTAGTTTGGATATTAGGCGATTGGTCAAGAGATATCCGAAGATTAAAAGGAGTGTAGCACACCCGATTATGGACAATGTTGATCTGAATGCTATGGTGAGAAAACCTACAAGACCGCAGAGACCTGACAAATTCCTTCGTACGACCCCTCAGAGCCCACTCCCATCGACATCAGCTGATGTTCCAAATGTTGTGGAGGAAATTACACATCAAAATCTCATTGATGCATTGGATGACATTCTAAAATACACTGATTTTGTGACAGACGAACAGTTTGCAGAAGCTATTGAGGATTTTGATTTTGGAATGATTGATGAACCACACTCTGTTGTGAAGAAACCCCGAAGACCTTCTCTTAAGCTCATTATTCTTTCTCCTTCAGAGCTGAATATACCAAGCAGTCCTGTTTATCGATCTCCACTCCATATTCCTGACAGCCCATCATATAATCCACTATCACCATTTACCTTTGGGAGCAATCCTCCTGGACTAACCCTTGGGGAAACGTCTGAAAGTTCGATTGATTTGGTTGCTCCCCCACCATCTCCAATTAGCCCACTCCCCCCAACACCGGAAGTTGGTGTAGAGCATGATACTAATGGTGATGCTGATCAGACACCAGAAGATAATTCAGACGCAAGTGATGATGACAGTGGATCATTGGAGGTAAGACAAATTGAGACAGCATTCAAGTCAAGACTTAGAACTTTTGTTATCGACAACAAGACTAATGTCAAGGATCCAACTTTGTTTTTGAATATGTGCACAGATTTGGTTGAAGAAAAAATTGAAGAAATGGTCGTGGAAAGCAATATAAAAGTCAACTTTGTCTTTCATGCTGAATTTCAGAGAGTAGCTCAAGACAAGAAAATAAAACAACTAATGAATTTTAAGACTACTAATAAAATTGTGTATCCAACAACAGACATCTCTGAATATTACAATGATGCAAAGGCAAAGATACTTGAGAGATTGAAGACTTCCAAGCAACTGGCTCTAATTGGACTTTGATGAAGGTCATTGATTTGGAAATCAGAATAAATAAATACACACCTCTTAAGGGCTCTAGTTACATGAAACTTCCGAAGAAGATAGAATCCAAGAAAGCAGTGATAAACATAAATAATAATGATCAGAAATGTTTCCTGTGGTCTATCCTTGCAGCTTTACACCCCGCGAAGGATAATGTTAATAGAGTGAGTATGTATAGAGCTTATGAACATGAAATTGATGATGTTTTCAAAGACATTGAGTTTCCCATGAAATTAGATGACATTACAAAGTTCGAAAAACGTGCCAATATCTCTGTCAATGTTTACACTCTCCACGGAATTGAAAATTCAGTTGTTCCTCTCAGAATCACTAACGAGGAGATGGAAAGACACGTAGACCTGCTCTACTTGAAGTCTGCAGACACAAACCATTATTGTTACATAAAGAATCTATCTAGACTTGTACAATCACAGATATCAAAACATGATCATATGTTATGGTTGTGTAAACGTTGTCTGTTACACTTTGGATCAAAAGAAGGTTTGGACAGACATAGAGAGGATTGCAGCAGACATGAAAGTATAAAAATAAATCTTCCAGAAGAAGGGACGGTCATCAAGTTTAATGATTTCAACAAGTCAATGCGAGTCCCGTTCGTGGTGTATGCAGACTTTGAATGTCTTCTTGAGTCTAACAGAACCATCAAAACTGAACAAACACAAAGCTACCAAAAACACTTGGCTATGAGTTTTGCATATTACATCGTTTCCAAAGAAGACTATAAACCTCCTGTCACATATTTTGGTGCAGATGCTGGAAGGGTCTTTGTGGAACAACTTGAGATGGAGTCTGAAAAAATAAGACAGTTGTATTCTAGTGAGGCTATCAAACCTATGGATTTAACGGTAGATGATCAGCGTATTATATCAAACTCAACAACATGCCATATTTGTGAAAAACCTTTAGAAGATGATAGGGTCCTTGATCATGACCATTTGACAGGGCAATTCAGAGGAGTTGCACACAACAAATGCAACATTCTGTACAGGAAACCCAAGTTTATTCCTGTCTTCATTCACAACCTCTCGGGCTACGACACACATTTGTTTATTAAAATGCTGGGTATGAATGATGAAGAAATAGAGGTGATCCCAAACAATGAAGAACGTTACATATCATACACAGTTAAAAGGCAGAACATGATCGAACTGAGGTTCTTGGATTCGTTCAAGTTTATGTCCAGTAGCCTTGATGCACTCACCAAAAATCTTCAGAAAGATCAGTTTACACACACTGCTAAATACTTCAATGAATCCGAGTTGAACCTGGTTTTGAGAAAAGGTATTTACCCATATGATTACATGGACAGTGAGGACAAATATGAGCTAACTCATCTACCTAAGCAGGAAGAATTCTACAACATACTCACTAAAACAGATGTTGACCCTAAAGATTATGAACATGCTAAAAGAGTGTGGGATTCATTTAAAATGAAGGATATGAAAGAGTACACATTGATGTACAACAAATCAGATGTCCTCCTACTAGCTGACGTTATGGAGAACTTCCGAAATGTGTGTATGTCAACGTACAAACTAGATCCTGCATGGTTTTTCACAACACCTGGTCTGGCTTGGAGTGCTATGCTAAAAACGACAAACGTTGAACTGGAACTTATTTCAGATTACGATATGCTACTTATGATTGAGAAGGGAATTAGAGGTGGTGTATCGCAAAGCTCTAATCGCCATGCTAAAGCCAATAACCCCTACATGAAGGATTACGATTCGAGCAAACCAACTGAGTATCTGGTATACTTAGATGCAAATAACCTATATGGGTGGGCAATGGTTCAACACATGCCGTACGGAGATTTCAAATGGTGTGATACAAACATCGATGTCACCGAAATCCCTGACGATGCCGATACAGGGTATATACTTGAAGTGGATTTGGAATATCCTAAAGATACCCACGACTTGCATTCCGATCTTCCTCTTGCCCCAGAGCAGAGAGTACCACTAGGAGGAAAAGAGGTTAAACTGTTGACAACACTTTATGACAAAGAGAAGTACGTGGTTCACTATAGGAATCTCAAGCTGTACCTCAAGCTTGGATTGAAACTGAAGAAGATCCATAGAGTCATTTCCTTTAAGCAATCAAACTGGATAGCTACTTATATTGACCTGAATACAAAACTGAGAACTCAGGCAAAGAACGATTTCGAAAAGGAGTTTTACAAACTGATGAATAATGGTGTGTTTGGGAAGACAATGGAGAACATACGTAACAGAGTGGATGTGCGATTGGCGACAAAGGAAAAACAAATTGTAAAATGGATTGCTCAACCTACATTCAAGGATCGTACAATATTTGCTGAAACCCTCTCTGCTGTGCACATGAAAAGGACAAAACTCCTGTTCAATAAACCCATATATGTTGGTATGAGCGTATTGGATGTTTCAAAGACACTAATTTACGATTTTCACTATAATGTGATTAAATCGAAGTACGGTGACAAAGCACGATTGCAGTATACAGACACTGATTCTTTGAAATATGCCATTGCCACCTCTGATTTTTACCAGGATGTGAAAACCATGATAGATTACTTTGATACAAGTGACTACCCTGAGAACAACCCGTATGGGATGCCTAGAGTCAACAAGAAGGTCCTTGGTAAAATGAAAGATGAGCTGAGTGGGAGGATTATGCGAGAACAGATTGCTCTAAGATCTAAGATGTATGCTCATGAAGTCGAGGATGGTAGTGTATGCAAAAAGTCAAAAGGAGTCAAAAAGTCAGTCACCGAGAAGGAAATAACATTTGACGACTACAAAAAATGTTTGTTTGATGGTTTGGAAACCACTAAAACCATAAATATGATTAGAAGTTTCAGTCACGACCTGTATACCATAGCACTCAATAAAGTGGTGTTGTCCAACCAAGATGATAAACGATACATTTTAGATTATGGAATCCATTCCCTCCCCTGGGGTCACTATTCAATAAACCATTAGAAATTACTCTTTTGCAATTCCTTTTGATAAAACGAACCCAGGATCTCTTCTCCTTCACCATTGATGATTCTGTATGTTACCGGTGCTGTAGACTGAATGTGAGATATTGTGAAAATCTCTGTTCGCCAGTCTCGAGCGTACTTGTTGGCAAACGTATCTTTCTTTGCTACTATTCTCACTCGATCGCCAACTCTCAGTTTAGTTCGTGGACGTTTAACTGATCGAAATTGATCGAGGTACAAGCTACGAATTTCTGGCTCGACTTTCACAGTCACATTGACCGGCCTCATGCGAATGGTGGAGTGTACACTTGTGTTGTACTTACTCAACAGACCCTGCAGTATGTCTATCCAACGAAATGAACCCCTAGCTTCAAAATGCACTTTCATTCGTTCATTGAGTGTGCGATTGAACCTTTCAACTATGGAGCTCTTTTCTTCATTCTCAGTATGATACATCTTTATATCATGTTTGGCGAGAAGACATTTAAAATCCTTGTTGACGAACTCTCTACCCTTATCAGTGTGTAATAGGTTAGGTGCTTTGTGACCATTGCCCTTAGCTCTTCGTATGATGGCTTCAAACGCGTTTGTCACTTCGATACCGCTCTTCCTGAGTAATGGTTCAGACCATGCGTACTTGGAAAATGTATCAATCACATTTAGCATATATTTATATCCATCGTTTTCCCGGAAGAACTTGTCCATTATAACCAAGTCAGCTGCCCACAGGTCGTCTATGTAGAGAGTGACGATTTTACGTTTTGGAAACTTTTTTGTTACTGGTCGATGTAGCTCTCGTGCCTCTTCAAATTTGACATCAGTGATTCCCGGTACAAGTGCTTTTGTGAATGTGCTCTTCTCGCGTAAGCACTCGACACATCGGCCTCTGAACCGCCACTTGTTGTTAACCGTCTTGATACGTTCCACATCAGCCGAAGCGGTTTTCCTTTTACACTTGGCACAATAAAATACGTATACCATTTCGAGTTTATAATAAGAGTACTTATAGTGATATAAGCACAACATGAGTGAATTGCACAGGCACACCATTCGTCTGTCTGAAGGGCAGAAACGTAAGCTTCGTATTGCCTATAAGAAACGGAGAAGTGCTATAATTGGACTGACGAGTGACGACATAGGTCATAGTGGAACGGACCATATCCTGTTAGACAGTGTCCAGCATAAGGCTATTGAGAAAGCGAGACGAAACCAAACAGGCATTCGGCTGAACCTCAGCTATGACCAGCTATTGAAAAATAAACAGGGAGGCCTCCTGAAAGAAGTGTTGGAATTTGTGGAGGGTGCCGTTCCTGGTGGAAAACGTTTCATCTCACCTGTTTTCAGAAGACACCTAGCACCGATGCTGAAGGAAAGGTTTATTCCATGGTTGAAGCATTTGATTGACAATGAGTTGGACACGATAATATACAAGGATCCTAAGGGCGCTGGTTTGAAAAGATGTATCAACAGGAAATTGGATGCTTTACTATTACAAAAAAACGGATAAGCCCCTTAACGCTTGGTGACCTCGAACGATGGGCCAAAGTGTTGGGATTGAAAGGATTTCGAGGTGTTTTCATGCGTGAAGTTTTGCCAGAATCCCCATGGGAAATGGAATGTGGTATTTTGAATCTCGGTGACTTGGACTCGAATGGTACACACTGGACCTGTTATATCAAAATGCATAATGGTAGAAAGCTGTATTTCGATTCATTTGGCAACGCTCCACCACCAATTGAACTTGTGAAGTATTTAGGCGAGCGTGATTTGCTTTATAATGATATGCGAGTACAGGAGTTTGAAGACCCTCCTATTTGTGGTCATCTCTGCCTTGAAGTTTTGAAGCGATGTTCAAACGATGATACAAATTGGAACACGATCATAAACACTTTAAGAGATGACAAATACTCGTGGCAATCTTGGTGGAGCAAATTATAAGTGTACCATGCCGCTATTTTTTCAAGAGGTTACTGGACGATCGAGTCTATGGAAGCTACTGCAAAGGACTACATAAAATCCTTGAATCTAAACGTTGATCCTATTAAATTTAGACTGAGTAAAAATGGCGATTTTCTTTCTGTGTATTCGCCATTGAAGTTCTATATGGATCCAGCGTGCTGCAAGTTGTTTGGTTTTGATCCTCCAACAAAAGAAAAACAGAAGAGAGCTGACAGTAGCTCATACCATATTGAGAACCAAACAGTGACAGGAACAAGACCTCCAAAGTTGAGGGCAGTAGATACCATTGAGATACACTGCAATATAGTGCACAACAGTCTCATCAACCACGACACACATGATCACAAACATGCGGAAACTGAACTGCTATACACGTTCTTCCCTCAAGTTCCACATGGGTATAAGATATCTGAACAACCAAAGGAAAGGTTATATGTTGATTTGAAACCTGGGTTGAGGACAGTTCTCTGCATAACAGTCAACATACTTGATCAAGATAACAACCTGATACTCAATAGTAATGTTGAAAACCTGGTGTACTTGGACTTGGTATCATTATAAGAGCATCATGATGTCTATATTTAAATTCAATCGGTTCGGAGAAGAACTGGCTGACAGCAGTACTAACGAAAATAGCATTTCAACAGATAAGTTAAATGAAAAACTTTCATCGTTGGAATTCACTTACAAGCACGATACAGATTCAAAGATCAGTAACATGAAAAAAGAATTTATTTCTCAGGTAGATAACATATTTGAAAAGGTAAAAAAGGATCTGGCCTCCATTATAAACAAACAAGTCGGGTTCGAGAAACATTATATTAATGCCAAGAACAAAAGGATAGTAAAAGCTGCAAAAGCTATAGATAAGGCTGATGTGGTTGTTAAAGAACAGCTCGAAGAAGTAAATGATAAAGTTGATGGTATTTTAAAAGGTCTTGAAGTCACAAAAGACTGTATTCAGATCAAAGGAGGTAGAAAGATCTGTGGCATCAGTCGCAGCAACAGTGCATATGACGCCATTAACGGAGTTGAATTCTCAGAGCTATCTAAACGTCTACACAGAGTCGAGACTATGATCAGTACGACTGACGCAAACACACTTGCTGTTTAAATCAACAGGGTGAGACATTAGGCTCTCGAGGAGTTTCCTATGAAGACAAAGTGGCGTTATAAGTAAAGACAATGGAAATAAACGTCTACTGTAGGGATGGTGAAAGGGCGGAAGATGGCGTTTTCCCAAAACCACTTCGTTGCTTGATCGTTGGTCCATCAGGATGTGGAAAAACCAATTTACTGCTTAACCTCATATACAACAAAGATGGTATAGCTTTTAAACAACTCTACGTGTTCAGTCGATCAATAGAACAACCAGCCTATCTTGATTTAAAAAAGCACTATGAAAGAGTTCAGAAAAACCTCGGTTGCAAAATAGCGTTCTTCTTCTCTGATTGTTCCGACTTGGTTCCATTGGATGAATGCAAACCAAATTCATTGGATGTGTTTGATGACTGTTTACTTGATGAGCAATCAAAAATCAAAGACTATTACATCAGAGGTCGTCACAAAAATATATCATGTATATACCTGAGTCAGAGCTATGGTCGTGTTGATATGCAAGTAATCCGTAACAACCTAAATCTGCTGTGTGTGTTTCAACAGAACAAGCATTACTTGACACGTATTCATGAGGATTTTGTCGGTTCCGATATGTCGTTATCTGAGTTTGAAAAGCTCTGTCGTCGGTGTTGGCAGGAACAACATGGATTTGTAACCATCAATACCACTAAAAAAGCACACTCTGGAAAATATAAATGCATGCTGAAGAAAACTATATTTACAACCTCAAAGTGAAATGTCACATCTTAAGCTAGAAACGATATATCACGTTTTTTGATTGAAATGTCGTTTTTATACTAGAAACGTTATATCACGTTTTTTGAATGAAATATCGTTTTTTGATGGATATGTCGTTTTTATACTAGAAACGTTATATCACGTTTTTTTCGACAATATATCAATTTTAGACTAGAAACGTTATATGTCGTTTTTTCTGACGTTGTATAATATAAGTGAACACAGGTTATGATGGATGCAAAAGCTGCTAAGCGACTTGAAGCTATCGAGAGTAACCTGATGAAAAAGTTTCATGACGCTGAATTGGAAGAGCAAAAACAACGTGAACAAAACTTAAAGAGATATCAGTTGTATCGTCTCCAACAAAAAGTCCATCCACCACAATCATTACAAGAGATGTCCAAAAACAACCGTTGACTGTCACCAAGGCAAAGCAACTAGAAAATGTAAAAGATAGACTTCAACAACAATTTGCTAACGTACACATTTTAGAAAGAGAGGAACAACGAGAAAGGGAAAAGAAATATCAAACCATTACCGATGCAATAAAAGAGAAAAAAAAAGATGATCTATTAGAACAAAAGACAAAGGAGTGGTTGAAAAAGCAAAAATACAATCAAATGGTTGCTCGCTTTAGACCAAGAGTATACAGTACACCAGATCGTAAACAAATTCCCTTCGATAACGAAGATGAAGTGGAAACTGAAAACGTTCAGAACAAATCAATCAGACAGTTGGTGGACTCAAATGTAATCAATTTGGGCAGTGTTGGTGCGAGATACTTACCTCGTGCAAGTGATTCACAGTTTGGTATTTATTATGATGTGACGAGTGAACGTTTGAAAATTGGATCAGAACCAATCACCTTTAATTACGATTATATAGTGATGTCAGGTAAAAGTTTTGTCGGCAGTGAAGGTCTTTGGAAACTCATGACGAATAAAGGTTTTGTTAAGTCTGATGAGTACACATCTGACGATTGGAATTCATACAAGGAAATTCTGTTGACATCCAACTCGTTGTATCAAAAGAACGATCCCTCGACTAGACGACCGAAATCAAGTCAGGGTCAAAAGTGGAAACAGATGATCAAACCCATTTGGGATGAGATGAATAAATCCGCAACCCCAACTACATCAACACCCACAGAGACAGTTGGGTCTGGGTTGAAACGGTACAATG